CACTTAAAATATATTTTCTATTACCTATAAACTGTATGCTAAATATATTATCAAAGAAAAGAAAGGAGAGTTTCATTAAAAAACAATAAAGATTAACCATTAAGCAATGGATCCTTTGTTTAGAAATAGTGAATATATTGGATTTTTTTTTGGTGGGGGAGGTCATTAGGTCTATTTATTGATTTATTATTAGTTGTTTTTTAGCAGAGGTACATGGGGATTGAACCGAGGACCTTGTGCATGCTAAGCATGTGCTCTACCACTTGAGCTATATCCTCCTCCTCAAACATATTGGATATTTTTAAATAAACATATTTAAGTAAAAGATGCCAAAAATGTCTTACATAAGAATAACTATTTATTTTTCAATCCAGTGTATTTCACTCTGTCGAGAAGTAGGTAAGAAGACTTGGAGCTTTTCTCTTGAGTGTTGGGGTGTCCTTTACAGTCACGCAAGCTCAGGTCACTGACTGACATTGGCATCCCCAGTCCCTCCCTTGTGAGAACTCTCTCCGTGTGCAGATTATCACAAAGAGGCTGCTATGAGTTTTCACTTTGCTGGCATCTTCTCCACCCTCTCTCTGTCCATTAACTGGGTGGTCAAGTTATGGGTGAGATAAGAGGCTGCCCCAGTTCCTTTGCTCTGAACCGTAGGGCGTGCCTGTGGGCTACCCAGGCAGTTGTCCTGACACAGAATGGGATGGCCAACAGAACTGATGAAGTGATACATGGCTTTTCATCCAACAGATAGTTCTCCTAGTAAATGTTGAGTATAATGTATCGTTGGGGGTTGAAAAAAAAAGAGAGGGAATGAGTGAACCATCCTAACTGACCTTGTTGGTTCAGTCTTTTCCTGAAGGGATCACTCCAGTGATAGGAAGATGGGCTCATAGCTTCTGCCCTTTGTCTTCTCCTGATGTGAAATAATAGAGAAACAGGCTTAAAATAGTTTTCCTTAAAAGTAATTCCTATGATTACAGTTAATTTTTAAGTGTAATAATGGCATTGTCATTATATTTCTAAAAGGATTCTTATCTTACAGCTATCTAGTGAAGTATTTATGATTAAAGATATGATAACCAGGACCCTATTCCAAGTAATTGAGGGGG